GCTATAAGGTCATCCCGGAGCCTTCTCTTCTCCAGGCTGAACAGCCCCAACTCCCTGAGCCTGTCCTCATAAGAGAGGTACTCTAGCCCTCTGATCATCTTCGTGGCCCTCCTCTGGACCTGCTCCAACAGCTCCATGTCCTTCTTGTATTGGGGGCTCCAGAGCTGGATACATTGCTCTAGGTGGGGTCTCAAAAGAGCAGAGTAAAGGGGCAGAATCACCTCCCTCGACCTGCTGGCCACGCTTCTGTTGATGCAGCCCAGGATACAGTTGGCCTTCTGGGCTGCAAGCGCACATTGCTGGCTCATGTTGAGCTTCTCATCCACCAGTACCCCCAAGTCCTTCTCCTCAGTGCTGCTCTAGATCCAGTCTCCACCCAGCCTGTACTTGCGTTTGGGATTGCCCCGACCCACGTGCAGGACCATGCACTTGGCCTTGTTGAACTTCATACTTGCAGTCTCTTAGGTAGTTTGACTCATCCAGAAGTCACAGAACCCTTCAGGAATCTCCCAAATCATCTGGGGGTCTCTTTCAGTGATATGGCACAAATCTATTTTTTGGTATATACTGTGGTGAACACTACTTTTTGCCAGATTGTGTCTCATTATTTCGTAAATAAATTAGGTCTTCTTTATGCTAGAAACAGCTGTTTTTACCATGAATAATAATGTCCTACTGTTTTTACCCTAACCATTGTTATCTTTGTGTCCACCTCCCAGTGATACTTATCTTTGCCATTTTTTTCCACTCTTTGGAGCAGCAGTTGGTTTCAGTGATAGATGACTGATAGATCTTGTGGCAGATTCACTGGCAGACCTTGCTCTGTCCCACCAGGCACATTCACTAAACTTAAACTGAAAGGAGGAGTTGCACCTTTAAGGCCTGAACACACACAGCTATCTCTCTGCATCTCGAGTGATTATTAGAGACAAATGCCACACTCCATTTCTGACTGATCTGTATTAGATCCCAGGCTTTGCGAGTGTGGGAACACAGGGCTATGACTGTGTGTGTGCGGTGAGATACCAGTTTTGTTACAGATGGTCAGAATCAAAGACTGCTCTCCTGCTTCTTCAGCTTTTTTATTGGTTCTACACCTCAACCTAGTTATCTTTATTGTGTAACGTGCTTTATGAGAAGGTGCTACTATTTCAGCACTCTGCTTATCTTTTAGTTAGTCTGAAAGGAATTGCTATATGGAGAAGGAGCACCATATTAAAAGCAACAGAACCCATTATTGTGGTCAGAAGGGAGATTATTTTATTTGGACCCTAGCCTTTTGTGTGTATGTATTCTTCTACCAGTTAACAGCGTTTATGGCATTGCTGAGACACATGGGGAGGTAAGCTGAGGAGGACGTCAGACAGACAGATAACCTAGCACTAATGTTTCAGTGATGGACAGCAGAAGAAGGTTATCCTGTTGTTAAAGTATACAATCTTGAGTATTACGTCAATAGTGAAAATAATTGATTCCTAAAAATTCTATTCATGACAGCTTACACAATGAAAAATGTGAATGCTAATTTATTTCAATAAGTGCACTTATTAGCTTCTGGTAATTGTGGGGGTAGTATTTCTGTTGCTCATAGTATTAGCATCAAAATGTGAAACTGTTCTTCCAGCACTCACTGTTATTAACTACCTCTAACACACCCATTACAATAGAGGCTTGGACTGATTCTCAGAAACGTAATTCAGAACCACTTTGATAAGACTACTTCATACAGTTAAAAGAAAATCGCAGTGCAAGCCACGGAGCATTATTGCAACATTTGAGCATTTAGTATCTCTTAAGCTCTTCTTTCACCTGTGCTTTACAATGTATAAAGTATGTATTTTATGAAGGAAGCTCCCATTTTTCTAAATAAATCCCCAGAGAATCAAAGCTGTAAAATGTTTTCATTTTCTTTTTTTCCCCCCTTGTTAAAACCACAGAAACACCAACCTCTAAGGAATGAGATAATGATTGTACTACCCAGACTTTTACACTAAACAAAACCTAGAGGTATATGAATGGCAGTAGAATAGGAGACTGCATGTGTGCGAAAGACTGGCATCCGTGGTGCATGGTGTGCTTCTGACTGGCGCTTGTGGCTCCTTTCCATCATTCGTTTTTCTGACTTGCACGGTGTGTGGAGTGTTGTGCTTTTACAGCATGTGGAATTACCTGTAGCCGTGTGGACAGTGAATGGATGCAATGTTTATTGCACAGAACAGTCAAGGGGACAGTGGAAAAATACCTGTATTTGTTACTCATCTTTCAAGGGTTTTTCTCTATTGCAGGTCCTTCTCATTTCTGCGACTCCCCATGTGGTGATTCTATTTTAGTGGCTAGAAGTAGGCCTGATACCATTCTGTCTCATCTACTCTTATTTTCACTTCCAGCAACCTGGCATTCCCATCCCACATCAGGCATGATCCTAAGTCATAAACCAGTACAAAAATTTCAAGTAGTTCTACACCTTTCCCAAGAATGTCCCCAGTCTTTGTAACAAATCTGTCAAAATCTACCTGTTGGTTATATGTGGAACTATTAAAAGTTCAGCATAGAGAAGTCCCATGGAACGTTTTTCTCCCTTTGAAAGAAAAAGAAATAAATAAGATAATTTACATTATGCATCTGCAAGTTTTCCACTGGGACATTGTATTGCTGTGCAACGTAGCACAGAAAAACAAAAATTCATAAATAAACCTCTTATACCATGATTGTAGCTATTCTCATCTCACCAAAGCCTAAAATTTTCTTCAAACAATAGTGACATGTTGGGTTTTTTATATAAGTAGCTCCACTGATGTATTATGAATTGTATCCACACACTCCAGAATTAAATTTGACTTTTTTTTAATCTAAAACCATTTTTGTTAGAAATTATAGTTTAGCAAATAACTAGAGAATTATAGAGATAACCTAAAAAAAAAAACCCAACAACCCCTCCAATCAGAATTGGCTTTATATCCTGGAGTCATAAATAATTTTCTTCAATAAAATGTATTTGCTTGTAAAGTATTTAAAGAGTGCCAACTTTACAATAGAGATGCTTGCAGGTACAGAGAATGACATTTGCACCTGACTTTGTCTCTAATAAGTACATACACACGTGTTCACATTTATTAGTGACTGCTGGTATTTTTACTAACAGCAGCACTGTAAAATAAGACTTTCTGTGAAGAACTCTTAGATAGCAGATGTTAGTGATTAATGAATGATCTTAGCATGGTTTAGCGCTTCACATGGGAGAAAGGCTTTTTCTAACTGTACATCTTGAGAAAGAGCTACATTTACATATGTAGTTTGTTACGTATGTGGAACAAAACCAAAGGAATTTTGATATGTTTTGTATCTGATTTTTTTCTCCTGATTTTTCAGCTTCCTAGTTAGTTTCATGGTGGATGCTCGTGGGGGTGCTATGAGAGGTTGCAGGCATAACGGACTACGAATCATTATTCCTCCGCGGAAATGCACTGCTCCAACACGAGTGACTTGCCGGTTGGTGAAACGCCACAGACTGGCCACCATGCCTCCTGTGGTGGAAGGCGAAGGTCTGGCCAGCCGCCTGATTGAAGTTGGACCTTCTGGTGCTCAGTTTCTTGGGTAAGGGGTGCCATATGGCCTAAAGGAAAATGTTCAGTCTGTTTTCGTCTGTTTGCAAGTGGCGCTGAAATGGTTCCTTTTTCAAGACTTGAACAGAAAAAGATGTTTGTAACATATAGTAGCAGACTGGTCGTGTGAAATACAAATCAGTTGTTAGTTAACAATTCGCAAAGCTTTTATGCCTTTTCCTTTGAAAACAGATGTTTTAACCACTAGCACTAAGGTTAATGTGCTTCCTTGGATATAATTATTACTCAGTGTTGTGATATTATAGTGGGAAAAGACCCCTTTGTAGCCAGAAAAGGCAGTTCATGCTGTATTTGAATAATCTACATGTAAGGCATGAATAGCACAGCACTGATCTAACGCCCAAATGTAAAGCCTGCTATATATACAACACAAGTTACAGCTGCTGATTTTAGAGACTTGTGTTGTGTTATCAGTAATTTGGACTATCGGGGAAGCACGGTGCCTTTGATTTTTCTGGGGCTGAAATTGCTAAACTAAGCAATAGGACAACCTTGGATTTTTTTGGCCGTTTCTCTTGTCCTATGCTGCAAAACCTGTAGAAAGATTGGATTTATGTCTGCTGCTGACCTTGTTTTAGCAATTTTCAGCTGAAAGCAGCAGTTATCCACACTTTTTTTTGTTTTACCAGCTGTCTCCCTATCAACTGTGGCATCCAAAAGTGGATGATTGAAGGAACCCCTTCTATTACAATAAATAGCTTCATTCAAAATTGTAAAAAAAGTGACTCTGTAAACACCAATAGTTTAAATTCATTTTGAAACAAATCAGTTGCTTTAAAATCCTGTTATAACAGGCACTCATCAGAGCCGCTATCTTCATTAGTGCTTTTTCTAAAGGATTGAGCTTAGGAAACGAAAAAAAGTTGATTGGTATTTTTTTAACTGCCCACTGCTTTTATATGGAGTGTGAAAGGAGAACATAACCCAAGACGTGTTTTGGCTACTTCACTGTTGCTCTAATCTGGTAAAAAAGCAAGAGCAGTTATGAAACTCTGCAGATGTGATGCTAAAAGCTAGGCAACCATTCCTTTTGACAGACAGGATACCTCTTAATATCACAAGTAACAGCAAACAAGGTGGTGAATCAGATGCTTTGTACCACTTATCCTTTCCACATCTTGGTCACTTTTAAAGAGAAGCAGAAAGAAATCTGATTGCTAGGACGGAACCTTATTCAGTGTATAGCCTAATTCCACTCTGTGGACCAGACAGTGGCACTGGTGTTCTGGCACAAAAAATACATAAAGTTTGTTTATGTTCTTTCTTTCACTGCTGCTTTGGATGTACTCAGTAAACTTCATCTGCCTACGGCTCCTCCCCCACTTAATGAGGGAGAAAGCTTGGTCAGCCGAATCCTTCAGCTGGGGCCTCCTGGGACCAAATTCCTTGGGTAGGAGAGACTTGAAACAAATTGATGGATGCTGACCTCCCCATTCTTCTCCTCCTTCTGCAATATGATTTTTTTATGTCATTATGCCCATGATATAGTCCCTTTCTATCATTTGAAATTTTGTAACCCCAACCCTTAGTGGACCATTTTTCAACCCTTGTGGTATGTGGTTTTGTTTTGGTGGTATGTTTGTATCTTCTTCTTACAGTACTGTGGCCTTCATTTTTGTTTTGGCATGAAATCTTCCTAGTTATGTGCTTGATGTCTGTAGCAAAGCAACCTGAACTGGGACAAAAAAAAAAAAGGAATCTACTGTAAATTTTGAGATGTTTTTGGTATCAAGGACTGATTAATCAAGAAGTTATATGTTGGATACCACCAGTATAATAGAACACATGACATTTACTATGTACATGGTAACCTGTGTGAGTCTTCTAATTAGACAAGTGTATATACGAATATATTTGTATTTTCTTTTATTTCTAAGAGTGCATATGTATATGTATATATAAATACAGATATATTATATGTACACATGTGTTGTATATGTGTGTGTGTATATATATATATATATATATATGGATGCATACACTGATACATATATTGACATCTGCTTGTAAGGCAACAAGGCAAATTCTTATCTCCTATACTGAAATAGAAACCCAGATGATCTCCTCAGACCTCCTTTATCTCTCCCAGAGTGTAAATCAGGAATAAATTCATTTGAATATATAGAATTACAATGAAGTACAATTGGCACAGGACACAATTGCCATGAAATTACTCTGATTTGCACTAGTATAAGTGAGATCAGAATTTGTCCCACTATTCATATACATTACAGTAGATTCTCTTTGAAATGAAGTTGCACAGGTTAACCCAGACAGTAGTGACAGCTAAAATAAGCATGAGTTTTTTATGAATTTGCAAAACAATTACCAGATTTCTAGCTAAGCACTATTATCTTACCAAATATCATTCACACTGTGGAAAGAGGTGGATGCACTTTTTAATCTGTCCTGCAGAATTTACTGGGTCCCTGTAAAAATCTAATATGTGTTAGTGACCTGCTAGTTTAGGATTATGCCAAAGTATTCCACAGAAATAGGTAGAATTCCAGGTCACTTTGTAGCAGACTGAATAGAGTTGCTGTTAACCCTGTTTCTTCCTCTCTCTCGTGTGCATTTAATGCGCTGTGTTGCTGTGCCAGGCCTGTGATTGTGGAGATTCCCCATTTTGCTGCTCTGCGTGGGAAAGAGAGAGAGCTGGTGATCCTGCGCAGTGAGAACGGGGACAGCTGGAAGGAGCATTTCTGTGAATACACTGAGGATGAGCTGAATGAAATCTTGAATGGGATGGATGAAGGTATCCACTGTGACTTTTTTTGTTATTCTGCTTCTGCATTACTTCTGTAACTAACTGGGGCTTTTTTACCATTTATTCTGTTTAGCACCTCATGTTTGATCCGCTCTAGAATTTCTGACGCTACATTCTCCAGATACTTTGTTTCTGTCACAGTGGAGCATAATCCTGTCCTCAGTACAGGAGCCAGCAGCAGCACTGTGTGCTTGTGCTTACTTCCCTTTCATGATCTGCTCAAGTAGTGGGACAAAGCAAAATCTACCATCATGAAGTTGAGAATAGATGCTAGGCTTATGTTTTCCACTGCTTCTTTTTGTAGTGTTAAAAGAAAAGCTTCCATAGCAAACATCTTTGCAAAACAAGGCAATTATCATACTAATCCTTTCCAAGCAGCTACATGTGTGGGAGGAAATGTCAGTCATGGGTATTCTTGCTTTCTGAGAGAACAGAACGGCCTTGGGCTGTCTAGGATCTGCAGAATTTGTTATTAATTTTGATGGCTTTTTTTAAAAAAAAAAAGAACAAAAACAAATGTAAACAAGCCAACTCATGTACATTTGGAGTTTAATTTCCTTGATGCTATCCTGGCCATAGTGTAAACGTGTGAAGTAGAAAGGGGCTTGGACCAATCCCTTTGCTTGTTTGTCTGCTGATTTTGGGGATGTTGTCAACATGTTCTGAGTTTGTTGTCTTCAGCTCCCTTCAGTTAGTTGTTCAGTCTGTCTATTCCTTTCTTGGTTTCTCTGGTTTTGCTGAACTTAAAATATTGGGGTAGGTTTCCTTTTCCTCTTTGATTTCTGTAAAAAATACTTCCGTAATTTGCAGTTAAACTGTGAAAAGCTTGAATGAATTTTGATGTTTGCTGTATTATTTCTATAAAATTCATGTCTTCTGACCATCTTCCCTTTTGACCTCAGTACTTGACACTCCAGAGGAGCTTGAGAAGAAACGTATCTGTCGCATCATCACCCGAGATTTCCCTCAGTACTTTGCAGTGGTGTCGCGGATCAAACAGGACAGCAACCTCATCGGACCTGAGGGAGGTGTGCTGAGCAGCACTGTTGTACCACAAGTGCAGGCAGTCTTCCCTGAAGGGGCTCTAACCAAACGAATTCGCGTTGGCCTCCAGGTAGAATGGAACAATTACAAGGCTTATCCTTTTTTTCTTTTTAATGTCAAATCACCTTCTTTGAATGGAGAACCAGCAAATTCAGCTTATCATGTTCTATGTTGTTGCCTAGAATGCTTCTAGTAAAAATAATTAAAAAATATTCATGCAAAAGTCAAAGCAAGTGGTAAAACTTTGGGTATTGCAGTTAATTCAGATTCCTGTTAACTGACTATATGATCTTGGGAAAACCACCTAATTTTGGTGACGATGTGATGATATTAGTGTAGGTCATAGAACAATTTCATAAATATATCTTATGAAAGGCATCAGAGAAGTACAAAGGGCTTTAATAACTAGGTCAAATGTACAGATTTTCAGAGTGAAGTAAACCAGCCTGAAAGTTCATTACTTAAAGAGTGGGAAGTCTTTCCCCCACCTCCATCACCTCCTCCTGCTGCATGCATACACAGCTTACCTTGGCCAGGAGACTGTGCTTGTTGAAATCCCCTGTGAACAGTTGAATAGAATACTAAAGTAGCTCAGAGCTTGTTCTAAGAAATAGAAAAAAGGTGACAAAGGAATCATTTTCTAGTGATTAAATGAATTAAATTAATGCTGTAAAGGGTCTGACAGGCACCAAGAAAGGGGATAGGAAGAGGAGGAAGTCATGGGAAAGTTGAAAAAGGGAGGCCTCCCCTTCTCACTGGCAGTCAGCTCCATCTGCAGATTTTCATTGGAAGTTATGCCACTAGTGTAAAAACTTAAGGGTTTCATGGCAATGTACAGACCCAGTTCTTTACGTACTCATTAAACTGTTTTCAAGTAACTGTTCTGTTACTGTCTTTTGCTTTGGAAAGGCTCAACCTATGCATACTGAACTTATAAAGAAGATTTTAGGCAACAAGGCTACCTTCAGTCCTATAGTCACACTTGAGCCCAGGAGAAGGAAGTTCCATAAACCCATCACAATGACAATTCCCGTCCCCAAGGCCTCCAGTGATGGGATCGTGAATGGTTATGGAGGTGACACACCCACTTTAAGGTTACTATGCAGCATAACAGGTAGGATGCAAATACTAGAGCTTTTTATGTGCGTCTTGAAATTGTCAGTCATCGTGAGCTGAATATGTTAAACTGATTATACACATGGAAAGCTTGGTGAAAACCTGACTGGGATGAGAGGCTGTGGAAATAAACTACTTTCCAAACAATTACTTTATAGCAGACATAACATTTGTTGTTTGGACTAACAAGAGATGTGTAATATAATCATAGACTTCAGGGTTTGGGTTTTTTTTGCATTTTCCTTCTCAAGTTTGTTTCTTGAGAACCAACATACCTCTGCCTAGCAAAGTGTAGTACAGACATAATGTTGCAGTATGCTTCAGAGGAAAATATTGGAGTTAAACACTTTATACTTGCTGTAACTCCAAAGTGGTTAGCATCTTAATCAGTCTCACTTAAGAGGCAAAAATGAGCTGCATGCATTTATTCTGTTTAGGAGTTAACATCTTTCTTAATTTTCAAACTGATTTCAAATACCAACCCAATGTAAGATGCATTACACACTGAGATGTGCCAATGAGTCGTTCTGGACAACAGGTGCTTTTACAATTTTGTGATACAAATGTGTTAGATGGCTGCTGAAATACCAGAAACAACATCTGGTCTACAAAGAAGTATTTGCATTTTGAAGAGAGTGAAACAGTGTTTATTTAAATAGAGAAGAATGGTCTCCTCTATAAAGAGGAATTTGAGTAAGTTTCTTGGAGGGACAATAAATCTGCAAGGATCCTCTACAAAACTTCAAAAGGGAGATTGGTTCCAAGAATGCTTCACCAAAAGGAGAAAAGAGGTATTTCATGACAACTAGTATCCCTTTACACATACAACTTTGTTTAAGGTTTGCATAAAGACTGTACCACGCGGTCAAATGGATATCTAGCAAGTCAGCTAATATTAGAGGAGGGACAGACACATGTTCTGACTTAGCTATGGTTATGTATAGTTTTTCCTTCAGTTCTTCATATGTATTTTATAAATATTCATAACTGCTGCTAGAAATAAACACTTTTATTTCTGTTTTCTGTAAGCTGAGTGTGATTTTAAGGTAACTGGAAACCAACTGGACATTCTTCACCAAAAGGTGAGGCAGGGACAGATCTTGACGAACTTGAAAACACAGATGGAGGATGACAGGTTGTGCCCACATTGTCAACTGCTTGGGCCAAACAGGAAGATGGCAATGTCCATGACAAAGAGGGCTGAAACACTTAATAGACCGATAGGAATCCAGAAGGCTGGCTATTGTACACCATGATATGGAGGTGCATATTTCAACTGCAAGATCTTCCAGGGAGGTCATCAGACACAGATTGTTTCATAGGTTTTCACAGCTATGTGCAAAAGAAATTTCTTAATTATGTACATACTGGACCCGAGTCTTTCAATTATTGCAAAAAGTAGACTACAGAAATCATAAATTGTAGTTGTCACTATTTGTAACATTACTACTGTTTCCCAAGTGTATCAATATAGGTTTAACTGCGCTATATCTGGGCCAGTTTTGCCCTGCATATGTGAACAGTTTCAAATGAACAGAAGTAATTTATAATAAATTACATCTCTCCCCCCCAAACTCTAGCTCTTTTAACATTTCTGGAGCTGTGCTACAGGACTTATCATTTCAAAATCATTTGGGCACTTTGTTTTCTCAGGGGAAACCCCCTACAATCCTACTAGCATTAGTGGAATAATGTGGACCTAAAGAGAAGGCATGTCTGGGATTATTACTGGTTTCACAGCGATTAAAAACTCAGAAGAATGTAAAATATTTCCTAGAAGCAAGAAAGTTTCAGACTTGCTTGATTTTCAGTTTTTAAAAAATCTCTGTCATTTCAGGAGGAACGACCCCTGCCCAATGGGAAGACATCACTGGAACAACACCATTGACATTTGTTAATGAATGCGTTTCCTTCACAACAAATGTGTCTGCCAGGTACCTGTACAACAAAAAATAAGTTTTACAGTGTTACTTTCAAGTGCATGTCTTTTTTTCAACAAATATTTTCCAAAAATTTTAGTTTATATAGTAGAAGGAACATAGATATTTTGTCTATGCTGTGAAGCAATTGGCAGGTATTTTGGAAGCCCTGAGCCTCCTAGCCCAGACAGATGATGTACGAGAGCTGTAAGCACTGCAGTCTGCACCAGCTGCAGAAAGAAATTGATGTTCTTGTCCTTTTTTTCTCAGCCGTTAGCCCTTTGCAGTCAGCGCCTGCTATGATCCCAGAAATGAATTAATGACACACTAATTTTTTGGAAATAGGAATCTGAGGGACAGTTTCATTTTCAGGTAGTTAGAAAAAATCTGGTTTCATTTTGAATACCCCTTTTCTTCCAGGTGCAGAAATATGCAAATTTCTGTGGAAACAGAAATTCCTTATTTGGGTAGCTCATTATACACGTTATAAAAGATGTTACTTCCAGAATATTCAGCAAATGAGAAATCAAGCAGAAAGGCCTGTAGGTGTACCAAACTGTGATCTAGAAGAATCCTTTCCAACCATCTGTTCTTGTGATGAGATTCAACTGCTGTCTTTCTGAAAACAGAATTTCATATTAAAAAAAAAAAGTATACAGTTTTTGTACTGTCCATGATTTATATCACAGAAATGCTCAAAAATCTCCTTCTCTGTAACAGGAGATGCAGTCCATGACCTGGAAAGTATTACATTTAGGGTGTGTAGTCTAGCAAACACAAAAATCCTGGTCAACTTGCCCATGAAAATCAGTGAATTTCCTTCAGCGCAAATACTCAGTGTCCAGAGCAGTTATTACTGTTAGATTAGGTTTGCTTATTCAGTGTTAAAATGAGTTCAGCTCTTGCCATGCCATCTACAGTATAACTTTAACATTAAGCAAAGTATTATTTTTCTATACTTTTGCAGTTTGGAAATGGCTTTCTTCCTATTAAGTTAGATGTTTTTCTTATGTACCTTTCTTTTCAGTTCAGCTAAACATTTTTCTTTAACAGCAGTGACCACAAGAGGGAGATCTTAAAAGTGTGTTTCAGCTCTCATCTCCTACCTGCAGTGTTCTGTATTAAGGAATAAATTAGAGATTGATATAAGAACCAGATGTGGAGACTAGATGCAAAGTTTGAGAGGTCAAAGTCCCTAAAATTGTGAAGTGCAGAAGGGCTGCACTTGAAATACAGCCAGAATGAGGGTGACAGTTTATGGAACTCCAATCCATATTAGTAATGGATGTTTCCTAATCCCGATGATGACATTAAAATTGATTACTGTTGCTAACGTTCTGTGATATAGGCGGAGTCCCATGTAGAGATTTTAATGGGTTCTGCCTCTTCTTTTTAATCTAAATGAACGTTCAACAGATTACTTTAACCCAAACATGATTTTAAATGCTGTTACAGTTAGAAAATGGGATTTTTCACGTATTTTCAGTCAGCAAATTAATTACCTTCTTTGCTGAAGGATAAGCCAACTTGAATTTCTTCACTTGTGTCCTGGTCTAAAAGTGCATCTGCCCTTGCGCCCAGCTGAGAATCAGCTGATTCCTGACTGTTTGCTATTCATAGTAACTTGTTTATGCCTAGTTAAATCATTAATGATGGAGAACAGTTTTCCCACTCATAAAACTAATTCTGTCCAAAATGAGATTGGGAGAGATTCATTTGTCTAAAATTCATGTGAATTACACTGCGGACTTTGAGGCATAGCTGTTTTCCATTTCCTGAGCTGCAGCTTTTTAAAAAATTTAGTATCTGTTTGGGCTTTTTAGCCCCTGGTGTATGACAGCAAATCGTTTGAACATATGGTGATTTCTCAGAGGATATAGTCTCTCCAGTTTGAGTCCAGCATAGCATAATTCTCCCACACATGAGAAGGAAAGCATCAGTATGCAGAGCCTTTATGTACCAAACATGCTTTCTCTCTTTCAAATGTCATCAGCCTGTTTCTGAACCAGTGTGTTTGTTAAATGTTCTAAAGACAAGCACAGCATGAAATTCGCTATTATTCAACTGCAGATGAGTAAGACCACAGAAATCACCCTTGAAAGGTATGCTTTGTTGGTTATAATACCATGTAATCTACAGTAAGTAATAAGCTCCCTCTAGATTATATCAGTTTTTGAGGTGTTTTTGACCTCTCATGACTTCTGTCTCCATCCTACGGATGTCAGACTCGAGCATGCTTTCTACCTACACAGTGAATTTTATTTAAAAGAAATGTCATCAACTCCACAGAGAAACTAAATGAAGTGATATCTGAGAAAGAAGGTAATATGTCTTACTCCTTCCTAAAATGCTTGGTGCATTTCTGCGGTTACATTTTAAATTATTTTAAGTGAAAGTTGTTTTCTTTGCAAAATAACAGTTCTGTTGTCTTGACGAAGGTATAAGGAAATTTTGTAAATTTTTATTACTGGGCAATGTTGTCCTGGCCTGAATGGCCCAAAGAAAGGGTAAAGAACCTGTAGTTTTCAATAAAGGGGAGGGTCATGTTTGACACAAGAGGACCTGTTCTGAACGCTGAAGTTCTAGACCTGAGTTGCAACATCTATGGTATGTGTTAAGTAACAGTATGTGTTTGATAATTTTTGAGGTTGTTTGTTCCAATTCACATGTACTAGCAATGCTTTGTAAGAGGCAGACGTTCATTTGTAATAATTCTTAGTGAAAGCAGACAATTATGACACTACCCTGTAATGTTAAGTTATTTCCCTGTCATGATGGTACCTGAATGAGATAGCAGTGGCAGGTCCTGGCTTTACACCATGCAGAGGAACTAGTTTATTCCAGTAGTATTTGTCTGTTGCTTTAAACATGTTTGTGTTTGACTTGCGGTGCACATATCACAAACTGGGAACCACTGGTGTAGAAGTTTCAGCGTATACATTAGAAAGATGCTGTCAGTAAAACGACATGTTAGAAACCATGATGCAAAGTGCATCAGTGGGGATCACAGCCTCTGTGAGGCAAGAGTAGTAGGAATCAGATATGGACACATCTGCTTTCAGGGTCTTCAAAATATAATATGGCTCAGATATAGAAATATATGTATCACTGGTCTTCAATATGCATAACAAAAACTTACCACAAAATCAAAGTTAGAAGTCCCTGACTAAATTCACGTAAAAATAATTTCTGATGTGGCATGCAGTGTTACACAGCGGACAAAATCATTTACCTTCTCCTAAAGACCCTCAGTTTTTGGTATTGTGTGTAAGGAATGTAATGCTAACCTTTAAGCTAGACAGTAGAAGAAAAACAAGTGTTTTGGGCAAGGCAGCTTTATATTTCACCTGTTAGAGACACAGGTCCAAGAACAGACTGAAGGATTAGCAACACATGCCAAAAGCTGTTTCAGTCTCTTGTTCCTCATCAATAAAACTCGGGAAACTTTCACAGCATCCCTGTCATGTCAGATGTTTGTACGTGGTTCACTAACACCCAAGTGTGAACTCTGATGTGTCCAGCACTTAACAAACAGGAAATTGTACAATGCCTAGGAAGATTTCAGGCGACTAAAGAGAAACGGATGAAATTGCCTACTCTGTAGTTTAACAATTTAGTCATAACCTGAAAGAGAAATTACAGGCTCGGCATATGACTAGCTACAAGCAGTTTTAGTAAGATTTTTGTGGGATGCTATTCTCATCTGCGTCATCGGATGTTTAGCAGCAACCAGCTGTCAAAAAGAACCTGTATTTCTCTAGATGAAAGGCACGTATTTCAGAGTCACAGTTAAGGGGAAATCTGAACTGTACACTTCCAGTACATCCTTCTTTACTTATATTCTGCGTAGAAATCCAGTAATGACATATGATAAACAAGAACAAATTCAGAAACCTTTTGGGCAGGTCTAGAAGAATGGTGATTAGATCAATCACCATTTCAAACATCATCAGAAACTGTTGAAGGTGATGTAAAACAGAGACCACTGAGCTTATTCTAGAAGAGATTTATTTCTTGGTAAAAGGCAGGAAAAGTTTGATCACATGTTCTCACTGTAAGGAATCAATTCAGATGAAAACAAAATTTAGGCCGTAGCCAACTTCTGAATAGAAGAAAAAACATTTATTGGATAGTTTTATGAATTTCCAGAATGTCTTGATTTTGGTAAGCCATCAATATTTGTTTAAAAATTATGAACATACTTATAAATGTAATATATATTTCATAAACACAAAAATATGACAAGGTTCATATATTCAAGTCTTCAGAGAAGGTGTATGAGACTGTCTGCCACAGGACAAGTGAACTTCTTGAAGCCTTTATAAACCAGTCAGGTACCTGGAAGGAAATAAGCTTCCAGCTGAGTGAGATCTTATCAGAAAGGCAAACAATGGCCTGGAATTTGGGCAACAGAGACTGTGAAGGGTTCGCATCTGGTGTTTAGGAGAGTAAGTTCTGGTCCAAAGGTTTTCCGTGTTGATTTTGCTTTGTGCTCTTAAATGCTTAGGGGGTACCGTGAGCATTCCTAGACTATTCTTCCCAAGTGATAACTACTTTTTTTACTTTATTCTGACTTGTCATATACAATAGGCATGGTTACCAGCTAATGCTGCCAAGACAGGAAAACATATCATTGGCTTGCTGAGATCCTTCTCTGCTGATTACACAACTCTTCATTTTCTTCTACAGATTTTGGTTGATAGACTGTCGACAAACACAAGAATCTGTTACTTTTGCTTCCCAAGTGTATAGAGAGATTATCTGTGTCCCCTACATGGCCAAATTCGTGGTGTTTGCCAAATCACATGATCCCATTGAAGCACGATTAAGATGTTTTTGCATGACAGATGACAAGGTGGATAAAACTCTAGAACAACAAGAAAATTTTGCTGAAGTTGCCAGAAGCAGGGATGTAGAGGTACTGTACAAGCATCTTAAACAGTTTTCTCCATTTTCTGATATCTGTTATTTTCTGCCTTCTATCTGCCACAAGTACTGAAAAATAATAGTCCCAACAGATACTGTCATGATGCAATATCATGCATCATGGTAAGATGGAAACTTTTACTTTTGTCAGATGTAAGGGAAAAGTAGCTGCCAGGTACGGGTGATGAAATCCTATTCCCAGTGGGCAATTGCCAATGTCTTAGTCCACAGGGCTGGTGGGAAGGTTACCTATATTCAGCTGACTGCATTTGGGTCTTCCTGGGTGAACGTACCAAAATGGAAAGTAATTGTGTGCTTCACCCACAAGGAGAGCTAATCAGCTGGTTACCAGAAGTTAGAAAGGAATTCCCTGTCTGACTTTGGTAATGCTGTTTTTTCTGCTTTCGCCATAGCATTATCGGCATTCAAATGGGACATCCAGTGTGTTCTCAGGGCAGTCCTCAGCAATTAAAAATATAGGAAGCAGGAACCTCAAGCTGAATTTAAGGAGAAAGTAAATACGGAAGTGGGCTGGTTGAGTCTGAAATCTCTGTTAGGAGACTAAGCTTTAGAAAACCCATAGGACAAAACTGAATTGAAAGAATTTGGTTTCTCAAGATGCTTTTGTATGGTGGACATATTAAACAGTTGCATTTAGAAACTGGACTGATTTTACACCAGGAAATCAGGTAATAAAATGAAGTTGGGGGTTACCATTTAGTTCAGTAGCTTCAAGTTGTTTGTTCTGGTGTCTGGGTCAGCATTTCTTTAATTCAGATTCAGAACTAGAGCAGCTACTGCCAGGTAAGTATTAGGAAATCTATTTGAGATGGCTAGTTATGCAAGCTGGAGGCATTACCCACGGTTTTTATGAAACAAAGTACAATAGTTTGTAAGAAATTTGTGTAGCTTGGCTGGGGTTTCAGGTGCACAACAAGACTGAAGTCACTCAACAGCAAGCTGAGAGGTAGCAGATAAGTGTTGTAAATGGACTTTTTCCTCACTTAGCCTAAAACTAAGTTCTATGGATGCAGGCTAGCCCTAAGTTCAATCCAAATACCTCATAGTCATTTCTGTGGTGGTCCACAGTGATTACTTAGTTTTAATTAGTTCTGTAGCAAATTGTCAGGAGACACCTTGAATTTTTTAGTTACTAACTTCCTCGTAGAAGAATGTCTGAGTAAAGATGAGTTTTGAGGGTATTGTTTTTTGCTGAACTGTTATGTTCCTGAGCCTCATACTAGGTAGGTGTCGTGAGAAAAGGGGAGATAGTCAAAGCCAAAATGTAAATCTCAGCTTCCAGTAACTTCATAAATTAATACCACTAACCAAAAAGGCAGTCAACAGTAGCATGTTTTGTCAGCATCTTTGCATACCCAGAAGTTAAACTAGCAGGTTTGATGATTATTCTGCTTTACAAAAGAAAAATTAAATCTGTCGCTGAACAGGCAAAATCTTTCCTGTGTGGAATCCAGCAAACTGCCTGCGAAATGCAGTTTTTCTGGCTCTGTCAGCTTCCTCAGAAGGGATGACAATTTGAAAGTGCTTTAACTACATGGTTGGCATATTCTTCTGCTTAGTACGGTCTCTTTTCCATGAGAATCCCACCTTTAAAAAATTTGTCCTCCCAATTCCTGTAGCTCTGACAGGCATTTCTTGTGCAGAGCAGCTAGATAAAATATGGGCTTATAAAACTGAATGACAAGGCTGAATTTCTGGAAAGTAAGGATGAGCTGTTAATGTATCGGCAGTTTGGAGGGAACGCCTCCAAAACTGGTAAACTTTTATTTAAACACGTGGAGGGGCCATAACAATACCAATCCAAGATGTAGGCAGTGTCATTATACAGGCATTTCAGAGAGGCATTTGCCTGAGGTCTGACTTTCAAAAGCTATAGGCCTTTACAAATCCAGCTGAAATAAGTAGAACCTACTGAAATACAGAATCTTTGCCTGCTGCAACAGACTGTTGCAAGTAGATTAAACACATAGGTGATCTAATTTAGAAAGTTTCTGCACTGGTAAAAAGATCCTCTGGAACTTCGTGATATTCCCAGACTCGCTTGTTATCCTACCAGTCAAAACAAGGACTTTTGATTTGATTGCTGAAGAAAATATTTCTTTGACTGTTATAACGAGGCCAGGTTAGCAAAGTATGCTAAAATTAGAGCAAATAAAAAATCCAAATTAAAATATAGATTGAGAATTTGCTCAGATTCGTAACACTGTTAATTCTGTAACAATAGCGTGACACTGTAAATGACAAAATGAGTATTCAATGTATTCCATTTGGAATTTAATAATCTGAAACGTTTCCGCAGATTTTAGGTAACTGTACCTAACAAATCTTGTAAATGCTGACGAGTCCTAGCAATTTAAGAAATTGATCAAAACTACTGTAGAATTATGCTTAAGAAGAAATCCTAACCACTTCATTGTGATTAACTGCTGCTTTGCTTCTTTTTCATTACCAATAGGTATTAGAAGGAAAACCCATCTATGTGGACTGCTTTGGCAATTTGGTGCCACTAACAAAGAGTGGGCAACATCATATATTCAGTTTTTTTGCTTTCAAAGAAAATAGACTTCCTCTGTTTGTTAAGGTAATGTTATAACATGAGCTATGGATTGTATTTTTATTTTTTGCCTATTTCTGAGTTTACAATAAACTGAGCAGACTGAAGAACAGTTCTAAATTATTTTATGATAATGGATTAAATGTTGACTTAGGCAGTTGAAACAACCACAAATGGCTACCTAAAATATAGTAACATTTTTCTCTAAATATAATTATGTGTGCCTGTGTTCTGCCATATATGCATTTATCCACAGCATTCTTTCAGTCACCAAAATCATACTTCTAGGAACCCTGTTCCCTACTTAATTATCTAAAGAGCTGATCAGGTTTGATCTTGTTTGTTTTTCTGTATCATGGTTCAATATATTGCAGGAAAAAAATGCAGAAACTGCAAAAAAAGTGTCAGAAAACAGTGTAGAATTGGCAGAAATCGATCAAAATATGGTTGTTGTACCCTACACTTGTAAATATGCATATGGCTGTAAATACAGGTATAACTGTTCTTCAACCAATTGTACTCCCTTCAGTAGCAATGCAAAACTTCCTCAGGGGTACAGTAAGAAAGGCATGGCTCCTTTTTGGATATTTCAAATTATGATTTTACCATATTTTTTAGAACAAAGCAAAAGGAAATAATTGATTTTGATAAATTCCCAACTGTAAACAAATTTTATCCCTGTAGTATATATTACTGTACTATTCTATTCTAAAACCTTTTATATGACTAGGAAAGTTTGTGAAACAAAAGCCAAAATAAACAGCCTCTATTCATGCAAAATTAACTAATGGTTTAGCCCTAGCTATAGAGGCAGTGACATAAACACCAGGGTCCACGGGGCTCATCTGCGTCGTTCATGAGATCTGCAGGGAGCAGTAAGTTATGTAAAAAAGTGCTCTCACTGCGGTCTGTGCTAGCAGCAGAGAGGGCTGCTGTCACCAAGCCACCATCACCTTCTCTTCTGGAGAGAGAGATTTGAAGGGCTGTGCAAACCTCTCCCCACAAACTTTTCCTTCTACTGGGACGTCCTGACTACAACGGAGTACACTATTACCATTACATAAAACAGTTTTAGAGAAATGCTTTTTGAATGGAAACTTGCAAAAAGTGGAGAAAATCAACCCACTCCCTCATTGTATTAAATTTGCTGTGTGCTGCTGGACAACTGTTAAACTCTCTCCCTTCTTTCCAGGATTATTTTGTAAGCTTTTTTTAATGTAGCACTTTTATCTATGCCACCACCTACCTTTGGCTTTGCGTATTTTTCTCCATGACGGATTGTCCAAAATATGTTCAAAAACATGTGTGTCTTTGCATCTAGTATTTTCAGTCTGGTAAAGTTCATACACATGTATCTAATTGTATCATTTTATCAGTTCAGAAAACTAAGAATGAGGTAGTGCTTGGAGTTGTATTTCTTCTGTGATATTGTGCATAATCCTGCTGACATTATGTACGAAAGCTAGAACTACATCACTAATATCTCAAGTTCTAAGTGTTTGCACTTGTTGCTACTCACAACTGTGAAAGAGATTTTTCTAAGATTCACTGCAAAATCTGAAAGTATGGCATTGTGTAGTATCTTTTGTAGATCATAATGGTCACACGTATAAATAGATTCCAGCAAATTTCTTCATTCTAAGACTAGGATTTATCAGTACATTTGAGAAAACATTTTGCAAATGTATTTTAAGTGTAGTCTTTCACTGTTTTCAGCCAAAAGAGCAGCCAAATGAACAAATACAATATTTAATACTAAAATTTTGAGCAAAGGGTTATTGCTAACATAAGCATAAATATGTATGTTTGCCGTGTGGGGGGAAAATGACTTAGTTCCTTTTGTTACCAAATACAAAATGAGTCTCTGTTATGACCATAACATTTGGGGACCATTTCAGTGGAAAATGGGTATTGCAAGTTATCATGGAAGCCCAATCATACTGGAAAGTCTCTGTTCTTTTAAGACTGTGATTACAGTGTTAGGACTCTCTTCTGTAAATGAGGTTCTAATGTATAAGCATGTACGTGCTCCTGTCATCTCTTGCTTTGACACACAAATACATCTGTATGTACATTTACAAAAAAGCAGGAAAAAAAAGAGAAAACACATTATTTTTGCCTACATGGACTTTTCTCCCACATCTACCCTCTTTCTGCTAAATAGTTTTGAGTGGCACTAGTAGATCATACAGCAGAATAGCAAAGTAACAGGTTAAATGTCTGTATGTTTGCTCTACCAGGTGCGAGATACCACCCAAGAACCCTGTGGACGATTATCATTCATGAAGGAGCCAAAATCTACAAGAGGCCTTGTTCATCAAGCCATATGTAATTTAAACATCACTTTACCTGTTTACACAAAGGTACTGTGAAATTGTACTGATCTATAGTCATCAGATTATAATATAAACAAGTAATGAGTAGGAGGGCAAAATATTGTTAAAGCCTTGTAGTCAGGTATTTTAAAGAAGAATAAATAGCACCCAAGGGCTTTCAATTTCTTGGGTTTGGTACTCCTAATGCCAGTGTTCAAAGAGGTTATTGAATATTTTTTGAGGACTTGGAAGAGATGACATAGGGGAGTTGAAAATCCAGTTTGCATTACATAGGTCCCATTATTTCATTTGATGTTGCACAAGACCGATACTAATCTTATTTTGTACAGAAATTTTACCCAGATTCTGTTCAGGGGTGAGACAGATCTGGGACTCAATGACTACCTCTAGATTAATTTTTTGTTTTACCAAAGACTTCCCATGCTGCCTAACCATGTTTTGTGACACCTCTCTGGAGATGAAGTTACCATTCATACCTCTTTCACAAAGTGTAAGGATAATGTCTGTAGATCATATGATGTTCTTAAGCTGTGAAGTACAGAAGGAGTGAAAATTATTTGTGATTTTTTTTCATTTGCCCATTTGAAAGTTAATGAGCTTCGTGATAGCATTTTTCGCTAATGGCCTTGTTTGTCTGTGGTGATAGTGGTAAAAACATAGCAGATGAGCTCTAGAATTTGGAGAGTTTGTAGTAGTGCTGAAAATATTTTCTTAGGTTAGATTTTAATATTACATTGACTTTTGACACTGACTTTTCTTCCTACATCTGATGAAATCCTTCAAGAATCTACGAGTATGTCACATCACATAAGTGGTCTTTCTTCAGAATATTGTTGTAACAGTTATTGATGTATCTGGGGGAGAAAATCGACCAATATCAAGGGCAGAAAAAGGAGAGGAAAACTCTAGTATGAATTAGTATTTATAAATAACAAAATTGAGACCAGTTGAATTCTCATAAATTATGGGAATGCCCTTGATTTCTGCTTAAGTGAGATCAGATATTAAGAAGCACTTCTTTTCTTAGAAAGAGTCAGTTTATTGATATACTGTGATAACTCATGTTTTTTACTGTCCTTGTCATATTAGGAGTTGCATGCGTCTTAGGAGTGTGTTAGGCTATTTGCCCAAAATCTTACCTGTTGATGTTCATTTTTTCTCAGCATTTTTAGCATACAATATAATCTTTATTATAGCTTTTTTGTATAATTTAAAAATAACACATCTCAACATATTTTAACTTTCAATGGGTAATGTTCTTAACTATTTTAAGTATTTAGTCATGCTAATTAATGGGTGCAAAAGCATGTATATATTTTAAGTTTTGGTACAAATAAGGATCACTAGAAGTCTTAACACCCAGAAGCAACTCTTCTGTTCATAATTCGCTTGATTCTGTAGCCTTTTGTGTTTTAAATGGACAGTTTAGTTTTGCTGCTTTTTGACATAAGAAATCAATTGCAGAAATGTACTGCATTTTCTTCGTTTCTGTTAAATGTTGTCAGAAGTTTTCCTACTCTCCTTTTCTAAAAAATTTGCGTTTTGCCTGCTGTTTTCCCCTTCTCTTTTTGCATGGCGTTTTGGAACTGAAAGGAATCAGAATCAGATCAAGAACAAGAAGAAGAGGTAATGTCGCTATAACAGCATGTTACTGCTTATGCATACTACTAAAATACAACTAACAGATACAGCTTGGAAGATTAAATCTGTAGTGAAACAGGCATACCAATCATTAGCTCAGTGCTACAAAAACAATGAAGCGGAGTACAGCTCCAAAGATCTTGCACAGGCTCACTTTTGGAATTGACTAAGTTTAACTTCCCTACGTTAAAGTTTTGCTGATTCAGATGCACGGATTTTGGAGGTGTATAATAGTTAATTTTGCTTTCAGAATGGTTCCTTAATAATTTAAAAATTATATATATATTTCTTTAAGCTGAGTTCTCTACAGCACAAAAAAAGGGCAATGGGATTGGTTTTTCTGATTCTGAGAACAGAGGAACAGACCTAAATACAACAATTACCTCCATCAGCGACTTCCCCACTGTTGGGGAGGAGTCTGCGACCAGATTCCAATTGAATGCGCTACCTGTGTACCTGAAAGGGCTGCAATTCACAAATCTTGTCCATTTATAACATCCAATAGACTGGATCCTAGAGATTTCTGAGTTGCATTGCTGAAGTCCAGTACAGAATCAGTGTTAACCCAGAAGTTACAAGTAAGTTTACCCCAAGTGAAAGGTGCAGAGTTTTCATCTTTAGCATAAACTGAATTGCATCTTAACGGAGAAATGTGGCCTATTCCCCCCTGCGTTCTCAGCCCCGTTGTGGCAGTTACATATGTTTCTTAAGGTCTGACCCCTACATGAACGAGTAACATTAGAAAAGCATCCCCACATTTTGATGATGTTCAGCTGTTGGAAACAAGTAAGAGAGCCAGCACTGCAAAAACAGTCTGCTGCCCAAAGATGATGGACATCTTTTCCACGAACCATAGAACAGAGTTCAGAAGTTTTGTTGCATGGGTTGCAGTTTCCTATTATCGTTACAGAAATATTTACCGCTCTTATTTCAGTGCTGAAATATAGGCACTGTCAAGCAAGAGCATGGCCAAAGCTTTTAAGCTAATTTCCACTACATTTATTCAGAAGGTAACCTCTCTTATCAGGTGGTCATTCAATTTCCTACCAAAAGCATGGAACTAATTCTTTCTATAATGCTGTTTATGCATTCCCAGTGGAATCCCCAAAAGTTTTTTTTAGCAAGTCTATGGTCTGTAAAAGCAGTGTAAAGGATATTGGAAAATTAATTTTCCAAACATTACTGACTTCTTATATTTTTATATAAGAAACTACAGCACAAAAAGACAAGCTCAGTGATGGCTAAAAACACCTTCCATTTTAAATTAATTTTTGTTCACTTTATTCATTTTTATGTTAATAATATTGATTAGTACACTGACAAAATTCCGGACTGATTTGGAGGAACTTAAAGTAAGGAGAATTAAAGGATCATAGGGATCCTAGGTTACCATGTAGGGCGATCTGTGCATCAAAAGGATTCATACTATTATGGATCTGTAATACAAGCTGCGAAGTGTGAAGTTTAATAATGTGAACCTAAATGATTGCAAGGTGTCTATGAACAGGTAAGTGTGGCCAGTGATTTACTTGTGTTCATGTTCAGTTTATGGAAAAACAAGAATTAGTAACATCTTAACAGACAGAATATATTGCATTTATCTTTTTAAATAATACTTTTAAACAAGTAAAACCTTTTCAACGCTTACTAAAAAAAACTATCTTGGAGGCTTTAACATACACAGGATATTGTATCAACAGTACTGCATAGCTGATTTTCATTCCTCGCAGTCATCCTACCACCACAAGTTTGTATAGGAAATTAAATGTTTAGTACTACTTCTAACTTTGTATACTTCTGCATATCCAAATTTACACACCAAAAAATCTTTTTTCACTTGTGTGGACAAATGATTGTGCTAGCAGAACCAAAAAAGTCAAACTACAAGGCAACTTCAAAAATTTGCTTCTTGAATTTTCCTAGTCTGACATTGCATTTTTTAAATGTTTTTTTGGCAAGGACTATGTTTTCTTTTGAGTAACAGTAAAATTGTGTGGCTTTTTCAATCTATACCCATACGCACTCTGAAAAAGCCAAAAGAAGGCCTCTGAGGACCATTATTGCTTCTGTTTAGAGGTATCAATAGCTATTAGTGGCATCAAGACCTAGTTCTTGCCTTAGGCAGTAGCACTTCTGCAGTCATTTCTGCACCTGCTTTTCATCATCACAAATTACTGAGGCAAAAATGCAAACCGTGATCTCAGAATGAATATGCCAAATGAAACTATGTATAAAGCATACTATTTGCCTTCCAGATGAGACATATGCCTTCAGATGACCGTATTTGACTTTTTCACTTAAGATGGGAAGAAATAAATTAAGAACAATGCAACAACATACCCAGTAATACAGAAGTCTGGGTCCTCTATACTGCTAGTCGCATTTAAAGAAAATATATTGCAACATTTTGCATCTGCTATTGACGATAATTATAGCAAAGTAATAATTTTTCTGTTATTATAAGCGCTAAATAAATTAAGCCATGCTTTTACCATTATTTTAAATACAGTCTTGGTTCCATTTAAGTCAATGAATCTGTGTGTCTCCATACATCTAGTGGATTTGACTCAACCTGTACTACTTCACTAGTGACTTTATATATATTGATTATATTAGAACTTTTAAATTTCCCCCTTTTTTCTCTTCCAGGTTGATATGACTTCAGAAAAAAGTAAGATTTTCATTGTTTTTGAAAATGTTATAATGCAGTTTGTATGAAAGATGGTGAAGAATAAATATAAGCATGAAAGAGACCTAAGCTTTAACTGCTATTGCTAATAACATCAATACTTTAATAATGTATTAGAAAATAATTTAATACCAAAGCAGCTATCCAATTAGATACATTTTAATGTATAAATTAACAAGTAACAGTTTAAAACAGTTCATCTAAGCGTTTACTTTCCTTTGACATCCCTAGTGATCCCGCTATTGCTATTTTGCTTGTATGAATGCTCATCCCTCCATTTTTTTTTGTCCATTTGTTGACACACATTGTTGCCTCATATTTGAGATGAATGACAGTATCACTTTTAATGAAAACATAAATAATATTCCAATATATTTCATTAAACTCATGAAATACAACCATGCAAAAAAGTGATACTGTCCAAAGTAATCAGGCTGTTTAATCCTTCCCCCCCCCACCCCCCCCCCCTTTACTGGGGTGAAATATGACTGCCACTACTGTCCAAAGTAATCAGGCTGTTTAATCCTTCCCCCCCCCACCCCCCCGCCCTTTACTGTGGTGAAATATGACTGCAAATATGACTGTTAACCTTGGTACAGCATATATACAGAATCAGGCCATTATTATTAGAAACTGAGGGTGAGTGGTTCACAATGCCAAAAGATCTCCTTTAAAGAAGATGCAAATCAAACAGACTATCTCTAACAAGAACTGTTTTCAAATGCAGTGTTTTCTTTAGTCTGTTTAGCAAAAGAACAACTTCTGTCTTGTTTCCCATTCAAAGTGCAATGTCTTGCCTTTTTTCTACATTGCATTTTGAGGGTTAGTTATTCTTGATGTACTATGTGTATGTTTTAACTGGAAGGACAACTGCATCATGACCTGAAGATCAAATGGATGATCATTCCCCTATAATCTCCTTTGTCTAAAGCAGAAATGCTTCATCTAGACAATAAAAGACATTGGGGTGACAAAACAGATAATAACGTGGTGGGAAATAATATTCCCCATGATTAACAACATTATTAGTATCAGATTTTTACTCTAATTCATTATTATTTACACTAGGACAACCAATTTCATCAAGATGGAAAAGATACACCATAGTTTAGCCAGCAGAGTGGAATTTCAGTTGCCCCATGACTCACCTTGGCTATGGGAAATGGGAGGCAAATTCAACAGAACAGTAAAACATACAAGTGAAAAAGGACTTGAATGCTCCCCTTGCCACATAATTATTTACTTAATGCAGCACACCCACCCTATTGAAGGTGGCGAGATGCAGGTTTGGTGAGGTTGCTCATTTGTGGCTGTCACAGTCTCATCTAAATTCAACATAACATAGATCTGGAATTTTTGTTGACTCTTATACTGGATGAATGAAAATACCAGTCAGATAGCAATTTAGTTTTGCTACTTCTTCTTTTGGCTTAATGGAGAATTAGAACAGCTGCAAGCAGGAGAGTGAGAGAGACACTGTTCCCAGGAATTGTTAAAAGTTAATTAACAAACACAAAAGAGACCAACAAGTGCCTGCTTAAAGACCACTGAGATGGCTCACATCGTGATGTCCAAATGGCTGGAAAACATACTTACAATCAAGCAACTTCTTTTCAGGTGGTTAGCCCAGCTCCCTTATACTTCAGCTAATGGTCGTCTTTAGTTCAAATAACTTTTAATTGCAGTGAGGTAATGAGTGACTGATTTTTTGGGGCCAATAGTTGTACTGTTCAGTAAGAACTAGGACTCACATGTGCATGTCCTTGGTTTGGGAATGATTATTTACATAAAGGGAAATAGATCTATGAGACAACACAGAAAATCTCACCTATGTCAAAATACTGCCAATTTCACCTTCAAGAATAGACCTTAAAAGTCTCAGCCAGAACCGGGATTAGAACTGATGTTTCTGACAAATGTGTTAGAGACACTACCATTTGGCCATAGAGTCAGTTCCTTCCTGATCTGCTAAAGAGTTAATACAAGTAAACAGCTCTCATGAGAAGAATCCAAAAGAACAAGGGCAAGCCAAGAACATGACCCAGAAGAGCTTAGCAGTTAGAGGTACTTAGTTTCAAGATCCACTGTGCTGAATCCGAAACAGTTTCCCACTGAGAAAAGAAATAAAAGATAAAATCAAACAACAAAACCTCCAGAACACTATAATATACAGAGAGGTTTTATCAGTGTCTTCTGTTTCAGCTGTTCTACTTAATCTAAAGAATTATTCTCAGAAACGAACATTTGGACTTCAATTTTCAAAGTTACATTGAGAGACAGAGCAGCCACTAAGACAGGTGTGCTATACTCGCCTTCCTTGGCAGAATGAACAGCTTGGTAACAAGCTAGAAACACTTCAGTGCAGGTGTGAGGGAGGCCAACCAGGTCATATCCAAAAGCCTGTAACATGGCAGGGAAGAGTACTAATCTGGGATGTTAATGACTACACTGCCTATCCTAAAAGGTGCTTGTCACGGACTTTACCAGCTGCATCTACTGACAGCTATTGACCATTCCTGACAGCGTAGGGGTTCTCTTCTTTTTCTCTAGTAGTGATTCTAGCACTGCTGCCTCACTCTGCCAACTAGCTATGCCACAGAGAACCCCAGCAAGCATTCTTGCTACCAGCCACACACCTTTCAGATAGTACTTGTGTTTTTCTTCCCACTGGAGCTTCTTTGCTTCAAGCTAATTAACTTGGCTCTTTGGCCAGTGAGATAGTCATCCATTGGACCTTTATGAAAATATGTATTACAAAGCTACAAAATTACTAGACAGCATTTCAGTATGCGCTAGAGAATTCATGCTAAAAACAGCAGCGATGAAGCACCACATTTTTAGCACCAAAATCACCCCCAGCAATCTGGTTATAATTAATGTACAGCACAAACATTTAGCATTCATTATACACAAGAGAATAGTGTAGCAAAATGGATATTTTTTACAATGAAATACCGATAAGTATGTATTGCTTAGGTTCTCCTGATTTGCATTACTACTTTGACTTTAAGACTGGGGTGCAGAAATGTGTCAAGTTTTATGTGATGTACTACCTTTACAAGAAAAAATGTACAATTATAATTTCTAAGCATTGTATTCTGTTCATAACTTGCTTCAGTCTTCCAGTGTTTCATTCTGTTCAATATACATTTTCTAGTAGTCCTTCCTGAAATTAAATATTCCCAACAGGCGGTTATGGCATAAGGGGAATTACCTGCATCCAGTTTACTGTATATAGATTGCACAGATTAAACAAATATTTCACCACAGTATGTTTTACAATATTTTCGTGTATCTTTATATGATTAATTTTTAGAGCTCTTGTTTTTTAACTGCAGCTACATACCCAGCAGCCGTTGCAACACCTTTGCTTTGCATGGAAATAACTTGCCTTACATGAATTGTATGTATGTGTCTAGTGTGACTGTCTCTGATTTTTGGTTGCCATACATTACATTTTTTAAAACTTTGAAATCACTTCTAAGTTGATTCACAGTTTTTTCTTATTATCTCTCCTTTTCTTCTCTGTCTTCTCTTTCCTCAGTCAATTCATTAGTTGTCAATGAGGATGTTCCAAGGAAAGGACCATGCCTCTTAAAACAAAATAATGTTCGTTTCATTGTTTAGGTGTGAAATCCCCTTAGATGAAATGCCGGTTTGCAGCTGATTCAGATCTCTACATATTTGATCATATTTTACATTATTGCAGAATTACTTTCAACTTTTTATTTTGGTCATTAAGGAAAAAAAAATATTAACCCAATGTTATTCTGACAGTTTGCTAACACTGGCTTTCTCTTAGAGGAAATCGACTTTCAATCAGTTCTAATGCTTTCCCCCTTTTTTCTTGTTTATTTTTATTTCAACATTGATCTGTAACATCTGAACAATCTTGAGATGCCTATCTTTGTGTAACTTCACTGTGTTCTGTTTTTAATTTTAAATTTTGTTGTTGTTGTTTTGGTTTTTTTAGTGGTGTCCTGATTTGGTTTGTTACAGCTTTGGTAATGTATGTGTGGTTGTGCTATATTGATATCGACCCCCCCCCCCCCCCCCCGTTAGCTTTGCTTTGCTGTTGTACCCTCAGATCTTGTGCCTCCACCATTCCCAGCCCATTTTGTTGACCTTCCTACCACTGCAACCAAAGACTGTCATTTTCAGTCCTGATTACATTTTTCAATCTCTATTTTTGATTTCCATTTTACTTTCAATGTTTTTCATTCGCATCAAAGATGACGAGACAGAATCTACAGAAACATCTATCCTGAAAAGCCATCTGGTTAATGAAGTCCCCGTACTAGCCAGTCCAGACCTGTTGTCTGAAGTTTCTGAGATGAAACAAGATTTGATCAAAATGACTGCCATCTTGACAACTGACCCTTCTGATAAGTCAGGCTCCATTAGAGTGAAAGATCTTGGAAAACCCACAGAAGAAGAGCCAGGAGAGCCTTTTGAAATAGTTGAAAGCGTGAAAGAAGACTTAGAAAAAGTAAATGAAATTCTGAGGGGTGGATCCTATACCAGAGAAGAACATGTTTTGCAGAAGTCCCTTTCCAAAGAAGAACTGGTAGAAGAAGAATGGGTCATTGTCAGCGATGAAGAAATTGAAGAGGCCAGAAGAAATGCTCCTTTAGAAGTCACTGAACCTCCCTGTGTAGAAGTCAGGATAGACAAAGGAACAACAAAATTGGAGAAGCCAGACATGACAGGAATGGTAGATTACCTTACAGAGGATTTAAAAACGTATGTTTCTCTTCATGAGGTACAGCCACAAGCCTTACAAGAAGACTTAATAGAAGAGAGATTTGAAGCTGTAGTAATGAGCAGGGATTCTGAAAAAGAAGGACGAGAATCTCCAACAAATGAAACGCTAAGTCCGCAGGAGCAACACAAGCCAGCCTTAGAAGTTAAAAAGCCGGTTAGGACAAAATTAAGAGACAAGCAAAAGCAAAAGGAAGGTAAGATGCACAGCAGTGAACAAC